GTTTCTCTGGCCGCCATCATTCCTTCTCTGGATCCGGGAGACTGGTACGCCGCCCTCGACTTGAAGGATGTGTACTTTCACATTGCTGTTATCCCAGCCCACAGATGCTTTCTCAGATTCGTGGTCAGTGGCTGGCATTACCAGTTCAGGTTACCCCCATTTGGCCTGTCAACGGCCCCCCAGGTGTTCACCAAGTGTATGGCGGTAGTGGTGGCCTTCCTCCACAGGCACCAGGTACAGGTATTCCCATATTTGGATGACTGGCTCATCAAGGCCGAGTCCCAAGCACAGGTAGCAGAGCACGTATCCCTGGCTCGGGCGACGTTTCACAGGCTGGGTCTTATATTGAATGAGCCCAAGTCCACACTGACCCGCACACAAAAGATAGAGTTCATCGGCGCTCTCTTGGACTCCACGAGGGTGTTCCTTCCGGAACTGCGTTTCAAAGCGCTCACGGACATTATCCAGACCCTTCTCTGCTTCCCCACAGCCACAGCGAGAAATTGTATGAGACTATTGGGGCACATGGCGGCCTGTACATACGTGGTACAGCATGCCAGGCTGCGCCTGCGGCACCTCCAGGCATAGTTAGCTCAGGTGCACAGATAGCGCAGGGACCCATTGGACTCAATAGTGAGCCTCTTGCCTCGCGTTCTCCACTCTCTCCACTGGTGGCTGCAACCACAGCTGGTTTGTGCGGGAGTACCCTTTGCAAAACCCCATCCCAAGCTTTCCCTGGTCACGGACGCCTCAGCGCTCGGTTGGGGAGTGCATCTGGGCAATACCAGAACCCAGGGCTTCTGGTCCCATGCAGAGCTATTGCTGCACATCAACATGAGGGAGTTGAGGGCGGTTTGCCTGGCATGCCAGGCATTTCAGGCCCATCTTTAGGGCATGTGCGTATCAGTGCTCACGGACAATACTGCAGCCATGTTCTGTATAAACAAACGGGGGTGCTCGCTCCTCTCCCCTCTGTCGGGAAGCCCTCGTGCTGTGGGATTTCTGTATCACCCACTCCATACACCTGCAGGCGTCGCACCTTCTGGGGGCGCAGAACGAGCTGGCAGATTGCCTCAGTCGCTCGTTCCATGGACTCGAGTGGTCCCTCAGACTGGACATCGCTCAGTCGATTTTTCCAGAGGTGGGGCTCTATCCACATGGACCTGTTCGCGACGCGGAGCAACAGGAAGTGCCAGAGATTCTGCTCCTTCCTGAACCGCAGCCCAGGCTCCACCGCGGATGCCTTTCACTTATCATGGATGGGTCACCTGCTGTACATGTTCCCTCCATTCCCCCTCATACACAGAATGCTCCTCAAGATTCATCAGGACAGGGCTTCCTTGATCCTTATAGTGCCAGCGTGGCCTCGCCAGCACTGGTTCACCATGTTACTGAACCTCTCAGTGGACAGACCAGTAGCGCTCCTTCTCTCTCCGACCCTATTCACGCAGGGCCACGGCCGTCTATAGCACCCCAACCTGGAGTCCCTCCACCTCATGGCGTGGAAAATCCATGGCTGAACTCTCTTGAGCTTCAGTGCTTGCACTCAGTGAGGGAGGTCCTGTTAGGAAGTAGGAAACCCTCCATGTGAGCCACTTACCTGGCTAAGTGGAAGCGTTTCTCCATTTGGTCTCGACAAAGGGGAACTGAGCCAAAATCGGCCCCAATTCCCCTTACTTTGGACTATCTTTTATATCTCAAGCACCAAGGGTTAGGAATATCCCTGAGGGTACACCTTGCGGCCATTTTGGCCTTTCACCCGGGAACGGCGGGTGGGTCAGTGTTTGGAAACCCCATAGTGGGCAGGTTTCTTAAGGGCCTGGACAGACTTTGTCCTCCAACTACGTCGGCCCGTTCCCCCTTGGGACCTCAACCTAGCCCCCCTTTGAGCCCAATGACTACCTGCCCTCTCTCCTACCTTTCCTGGAAGGTGGCTTTTCTGGTGGCTATGATTTCCGCTAGAAAGATAGCCGAACTCAGGGCACTGACCTCCGAACTGCCTTATATGGTATTTTATAAAGACAAGGAGCAGCTACGCTCCCACCCTGAGTTCCTGCCTAAGGTTGTCTCCCAGTTTCACGTGAACCAGGATATATTCTTACCTGTGTTCTTTCCTAAACCCCATGCCACTAAAGGGAGCACATGTTCCATTCCTTGGACGTTAGATGTGCCTTATCATTTTACATTGAACGCACAAAGTCATTTTGTAAGTCACCGCAGCTCTTTATTGCTATCGCAGAAAGAATGAGGGGGCTCCCGATCTCATCCCAGTGCATCTCGTCATGGATCATGTCCTGCATCAGGACTTGCTATAACCTGGCCAAAGTTCCAGCCCCTCCGATTACAGTGCACTCTACCATAGCACAGGCGGTGTCCGCAGTTTTCCTGGCGCAGGTCCCTATCCAGGACATCTGCAAGGCGGCAACCTGGTCTTCAGTTCACACCTTCACTTCCCACTACGCCATCATCTAGCAGGCGAGGGATGATGCTGGGTTTGGTAGGGCAGTCCTACACTTGGCGATTATGTGAACTCCGACCCCTCTCCCGGGGTAACTGCTTGGAAGTCACCTATTGGAATGCACACGAGCAATCACTCGAAGAAGAAAAAACAGTTACGAGAGGTAAGTAACTGTTGTTCATCAAGATGTGTTGCTCATGTCCATTCCACATCCCACCATCTCCCCACTGTTGGAGTATTCCGGCAAGAAGGAACTGAGCAGGCGGCGGGTCGGCAGGGACATATATGCACCGCCATGAAGGCGTCACTCTAGGGGTCTCCACAGCCGACCCGATGGGTATCGCTAGGGGAAAAGCTTTCCGGCGATCGTGCACGTGGTGCGCACACACACACACACCCCTATTGGAATGGACATGAGCAAGACATCTCGAAGAACAACAGTTACGAGAGGTAAGTAACTGTTTTTTACTTACCAATAGCTGTTGTTCTTCAAAAGTTGCTTGGGTGTAGTCCCAATACCTGCCAACCTTCTGTAGAACATTAGGACTGGCAGTTAGGGAGAAGGAACTGAGGCTGGGTCTGTGTATACACACTTCTCTTTATATAGAGTAAGGGGATGACACCTTTGCGTGAAATCTCTCAGGTAACTGTACTGGAGGTGGCTTTTCAAGGCCTTTCCTTTGCTTGACTCTAAAGGTGTCATATCTCACAATTGTGAATACATAGAGGCAACACACAAACAATAGTTTATTGGTAAGTAACCTCTCATTATTTCATTTATTATTATTTATTTATTAGCTCTGGGGCACCATTGTTTTGGGCACTATTATAAACATACACAAATTGACACATTCCTTGCCATGAAGAGTTTACAGTCTAAATTAAGACAAGACCTAAAGACTGAGTACAAGAATAGGATGGAAGGAGGATAGAGGAAGATGGTTAGTATAATAAAAATCATAGTACACAACTTGATGGTTCCAATTTAATTAAAAAAAAATAAATCAAAAATTCCCCCCCTAATTATAGACCCCCCCCCCCCCCCCCGTACTTCCTTAATATCAACTTCATCCTCCATAGAATATGATGATCTTGTCTTGGTATTATTTAATTTTGGTTTTATTGTTTTTCCCCCATTGGGTATAAATTATTCCCAACTCTCCACTTTAACCCACCCATATTGATCCTGCACTGGCAGGCTATCTTCTGTGTTCCTGGGACTTGGTTTTACCTTCATTCTGTTAACTACAGACCAGTGCAAATTTGGTATGGAGCAAAGTATCTTTTAGAGGAGAAAGAAAATCCAATTTAGGGTTTGACCCTGTTTCCACTGAAGTCAGTAGGGTGATTCCCTTTAACTCCAATGGGACTGGAATTGGGCCCTTACCCTTTGTCGCTAAAGACTGCAACCCAAAGTGGTTTTTTTTAAAATTAGAGATTAAAAATGTATAGGAGCAGGAGAATAATCTGTCAGAAAACAATTTGTCAGATCTAGATCAGCGTTATTCAGAAGGGGGACTGGTACTATTTTAGGTTGCTGGCTTACACGTAGTGCAAGATTGACATGTAGTGAACAAAAGATAATCTGTAATGGCTGTTTGATGTAAATGAGTTGATTGCCCTAATTAAGTTTATACAGGTATTGGATAACTATTGCTATTAACTATATTACAGAAGTGCAGAGAACTCCTGATTCTTGTACCTCCAGTTCTGAGTTTTCCTGCTCTCAGCTCCTGAGATGGAGCTGGAGAGTAAGATATAAAAAAACCCCCAAAAAACAGACAAACAAAAAACCCAAAAACATTATATCTGTTGGAAGCAAAGGGAGTTCTTTTTTGGGGAGGAGGCAGCGGCGTGAAGTCTGTTGCTAAAAGTGGAAATATTCTGTGTGGGCATTTAGTGACAGCTCATAAATGTACTTTATTATGGTGTTTCCTTTTTTAAGGCTTGTTTTGGGTGGATAACTTGGGCAACGTTAACTGGTTTTAAACAAAGATTTTGTTTGTGGGAATTTTAGTTAAAAAGTGTATCGATATACAACATATTATATCTTTCTTTTGTATATTTGGAGCAGATCTAAGGAAAAAAGGCCCTAGTAGTTTTTTCTCTCCCACCCTATTTTCTCTCTCTCTTTCCTATATGGGTCCCTATTTGTTTCTCTTTTAATTCTCGTCTCCTGAAGACAGTGTATTTTAGAGTACTTATGATTTAGATTAACTAGGATAGTCAGACCAATACTTCAGTCTGATTTTAATGAAATCTTGCTTTTATCCAATTTTACATCTAAGGATTGTCAAGTGACTTGCTAAAGGTCAAGCAGTAAGTATCACAGCCCACTTTAAGGCCATCCTATTTCCAGCCTCATTGTCCATATTGTCTCCTATCAGCATAGGAGTATTAGGAACTGAGTGCAAGCATTTGATATTTGATTGTCCTAGCTAGTAATTTCAACAGCAATGTAAGACTTCCTAAAACAGATTCATTTAATGTAAGAATGTTAAAAGAAATTATGAAAATGACTGAGCATTTCTTCTTTTCACAGTATGTGTTTTGTATACACAAGGTATTGGAAGCAAAGAATGGAGAGAGGTAAGGTGTTTTTTTTAATATCTATGTATATTTTTGTTTTTAATTTTTTAATTAAGTGTGGTTGTTCGTGTGTCATGGCAAAAAAAAAAAAAAAAAGAGAAAAATCATGATTAGTTGGTTGATTGCTATGCGAAAGAAGTCAAACCCTCAAATGTACAGGAAAAAATGCCAAAAAATTAGGGTCACTTTATTTTGAACTCTTGTATTTATATATCCTGTATTACATTTAAAAATGGTTAAATCCATTTAAGAAGAAAGGTGTGTGTCCCATACTTCCCTCCACCATAAGTAAAACCAACTTTATTTTTAAAAAATATGGAGCAGGCCAGCCAGGTTTGCAAAGGCCATTTGGGAAGGGGAGTAGGCTGACCAGATAGCAAGTGTGAAAAATTGGGACGGGGGTGAGGGGTAATAGGAGCCTATATAAGAGAGAGCTCCAAATATCAGGACTGTTCCTATAAAATCGGGACATCTGGTCACCCTAAAGGGGAGGAGGAGGAAGTTGGAGGGAGGAGGAGAATAGATCACTAACAATTTTTGTCTCCGTTATTAATGGTTTTACTTTTCAGATTTGGCCTACTGGTACTTTACAGTAGTCATATGTTAGAGTTCTTAAGTATGGTGCCTGGGTGCCTCCAGATTCTAAATGCGAAGAAGAACATTTCATTGTTGTATCAAAGTTGGAATCATCTCAGGTGGTAATGACTGAAATACGTTACTACTTTACAACTGTTCATTGCCCTGCTCTAAATAAGTTAGTGGTCTCAGTTCATTTTCTAGGGGAGAGATGTCAACATCACTTACGTGTAGTACAGTACACTTGTTGGCACTCTTAGCAAAGAGGCTAGGCATTCAGTGGATGTAGAAATTGGATTCCTGTCTTAACCTCCTAGTCAAAGCAGAGATATGTTGATATAACAGTGAGGGAAAACAACGGTGTTGCTCGTGTTGTATCTGCTCTCCAATTAGAGGACTTCCTTTTGCAGAACTGATAATTCTGTACCTTTCATCACTAAATTCATTAACAGCAATAAGGGGAAATATCTTATCCTATAGATTTAGAAATGTGTTTTTAAATGATTCATTCTGAATCTCAAAATTATAATATTTAAAGCTACAGGCTATTACAGAAAACGAATCTTGGATCCATGCTCTAGTGACCAGATAGGAATTCTCTAAGCTGTTTTGAGCCTATAACTGAAGAACCACTAATGCTGCAATCATTAGGTCCTTTCAAACATCATTGGAAGATGTCAAGTATCAGGGGGTAGCCGTGTTAGTCTGTACCCACAAAAACAAAAAGGAGTTCGGTGGCACCTTAGTCTTTAAGGTGCCACTGGACTCCTTGTTATCATTGGAAGAGAATCTCTGTCGTGAAAAGCTGGTGTACCACTTTGTTGAAGCCTCTTTTTTAAAAGAATTGCTTGTTTCATTCTTCTCTGCTAGTTTGTTAAATAAAATATAAATGTTTGGATCAGTTCCCATTAATAGTAGTAACCATTTGTGTTGTCAAAGGCTGTGAACCAAGAGGCTCCCCCTGTTTCAATTGGCTTAGTTTCCTTATGCTAGTTATGGGCCTGTCACCATGAAGGGTCAGTGGGAGGCTGAGCCACTGGCTTTTCAGAGCCGTGCTGTACTCTGCTTTGAAGCCTCTGAGACCCTTCGGGCCTTTGCTGCCTCGTTACTGGTTTACAGTGCTGACTAATACAATAATTAGCACCATTTCTCCCTCCATCCCCCTGTCCTATGTCTGTAACTTCAACTATTCCTAGACACCAAGTTTCACTACCTCTATGTATCCCTTTCTCTTATTCCAGTACCTTCCTCACCTTACCTCCAGCCACCCATCCAGAGAAACTTACCCTTTTCTTCAAGTGATGTCCCTGTGGATGCTCCCACTCTCCCCCCTACCTTGTTAGTTTCAGATTTTTTTTTTTTTACCAAATCTTGAAAAATAATGTATTTAAAGAAAAGCAAACACATGAAACAAAATAAAAGCATGAGTTCTGTAACCTGTGTTTTATATCCTTAACATTGTGAACTGGAAACTGAATCAAAAGCTTCTCATCCAAACCAAATACAATTTGCTGTAAACCTAATATTTTTGCAGCTAAAAGGAGGATCAGGCTCCTCTTATGGGGAGGGAGTCAAAGCCCCATTGTACAGAAAGGTGAAAGCAATGAGTCTTTTCATTTTTAATGGACGCATCAAAAGAACATAGGGGCAAGAGATAAGTGGATAATGATGGAGCCATATATTTCTAATGGCAGGGCCTCCATGTCTGAAAGTGGATGAAGTTACCAGTGAAATGGGCATTTTATGTAACTTTTTGCTTGGTATTCTACATTCAGGAGAGATGGCAGATTCTAAAAGAGACTGTATTACACAAGAGCAAACTATCGTGATGCTAAGGAAAGATTAAAAATAACAAGAGACCCATATGGCTGTATCAGGAGCTCTTTAATAACATGACCATTAAAAGGAATCCTAGACAAAGAACAGATTGATAAGGATGAATATAAAAGAATAGCACAAGCGTTTAGGGATGAAATCAAAAGGCTTTGGCACAAAATGAGTTACACCTAGCAAAGGACGTAAAAGGCAATAACAAGATGTTTTGTAAGTGCAATAGAAGTAAAAAAGAGGTAAAGTAAAGTTAGGTCTATTACTTAACAGGGAAGGAAGCAAATAATGAATGACACAGCAAAGGCTGAGGTACGTTAATGCCTTTTTTGCTTCAGGCTTCATTAAAAAGGTTAAATGTGACCAGATGCTTAACACAATATTAACCACAAGAGGGAGGGGATCTCTGGGCAGAATAGTGAAATAATAGGTTAAAGAATGTTTAGATAAATCAGATATCTTCATGATGGTGGGACCTGGTGAACTTCACTGCAGAATACTTAAGGAACTAGCCAAACGATCTCTGAACCATTAGCTATTATTTTTGTGAAGTCTTGGAGGATCGGTGAGGTCCCAGAAAACTGGAGAAGTGCAAACATATTACCTATGTTCAAAAAGGGGAAAAATGAGCACCCAGGGAATTACAGACCATTCAGTCTAACTTCGATACCTGGAAAGATACTGGAACAAACTATTAAATCATTTTATTCAAACCTAGAAGATAAGGTGATAAGTAAGAGCCAATGTGGATTTGTCAAGAAGAAATCATGCCATAAGTGTATGCTTATAAAATTTGTGGATGGCTCTGTCAAGACTGAATCCCCACTCTGTCACTCCGAGTGCAGAAATGGGGGCCGCAAGGATTTTAAAAATTAATACTTGCCACTCCAGGCTTGTATTACACTCCCAAGGTTACAGCTTTTCTCTGACCTTGGTTTGGTAAACGCCTCCACCACCCAAATGCAAAAAAACCTCTTTGAACCCAGGAAGGAGCACTTGGGAATTCCTCCCTGTGGGGTACCCTCAAGTCCTTTCACCCTCTTCCCTCCCCCCCCGGGGGGAAGAGCTGAGAAAGAAAACAAAGGAAATTAGCTGTGGCTATCAGCTAATCAAACAACATGCACAAACCTCTTAGGACACCAAAAATCCAATCCTGTTATTAAAGGTAAATTTTATTAAAACAAAAAAGGAAAAAATACATCTGGAACTTAAGCTTTTTGCTGCATCTTAAAAGAAACAATTACAAAAATCAAGCACCCAAAATAGCTTTCTTGGGGGTTCAGCTTAAAGAAAAGCTTACCAGCAAACAAAAGCATTAGGGGTTAGCACAGAGGAGAGCCACAAGCCCTAAAAATATAAACAGAAATAAACCTGATCGCGTCTAGCTAAACATTCTGATCTGCCTACACATTTGGAGTTCATATAAGTAGTTCTAGGTATGAGCTGATGATTTATAATCATACCTGGCTTAAGCTGCTTATAGCATGGCTGCTCTGTCCCTCCAGCCCAGAGAATAACAGGCAAAGGGAAAGTTTCTTTCCTCATTTTAAAAAGTTCTAGCCTTCCCATTGGCTCTTTTGGTCAGGTGCCCACTTCCCCCCCCCTTTACCTGGGAGACTTTTTAACCCTTTACAGGTAAAGCGAGTAAAGAACATCTACCAAGAGGGATTTTACAGCCAACTGGTTGGCTGGGTGTCCATCAAAGGGAGCTATCCCCCCACTTTATTTATCACAGGCTCCAAGCGGAGAGGGGTTACAAGCACTGTAGAGGACAGGATTAGAATTCAAAATGACTTTGATAATTTAGAGAATTTGGTCTGAAATCAGTAGGATGAAATTCAGTAAAGATAAATGCAAAGTACTATACTTAGGAAGCAAAGGAAGAAAAAAATAAAATGGCGAATAACTGGCTAGGCAGTAGTACTGCAGAAAAATAATCTGTGGATTATAGTGGTTTGTAAATTTGCATGAACCAACAGTGTGATATTGTTGCAAAAAAGTCGTGTCATTCTGAGATGTACCTACAGGAGTGTTGTACGTAAGACAAAGGATGTAATTGTTTTGCTCTACTCTGCAGTGGTGAGGCCTCAGCTGGAGTACTGTGTCCTGTTTTTGGCACCACACTTTAAAAAAGATGTGGACAAATTGGAGAGAGTCCAGAGAGGAGCAACAAAATAAAAGGTTTAAAAAACATGACCTTAGAGCAGCGGTTCTCAAACTGTGGGTCGAGACCCCAAAGTGAGTTGCAACCCCATTTTAATGGGGTCACCAGGGCTGGCTTAGAGTTGCTGGGGACCGGAGCTGAAGCCTGAGCCCCACCACCCATGCCGAAGCCCAAGGGCTTCAGCCCTGGGTAGCAGGGCTTGGTTACAGGCCCCCTGCCTGGGGCTGAAGCCCTTGGGCTTGGGCTTAGGCTTAGGCTTTGGCTTTGCGGCCCCTCTTTCCCTGCTCCCCCAGGGCGGTGGGTCTCAGGCTTTGGCTTTGGCGCTCCTGCCTGCAGCGGTAGGGCTCAGGCTTCGGTCCCCCCTTCTGGGGTCGTGGTAATTTTTGTTGTCAGACGGGGGTTGGAGTGCAATGAAGTTTTGAGAACCCCTGCCTTAGAGGAACGGTTGAAAGAACTGGGCATGTTTATTCTAAAAACAAGAAGTCTGGTTGGGGGGTCATGATAAATTTTCAAATATATAGAGATTGTTATAAAGAGGACTGTGATTAGTTTCTTCTTTGAATAATGTCAAAAAATAGGTGCTCCACTCTGGGTGCACTTGCACCCCAGGCTCCTTTGATCAGAGATTTTGCATATCAGTGTCCATTTGGCCCACATACATGTGTTACTCAGTCTCGTGTTCTATGCTGTTATATCGCACTGTACAAGCAAACTACCCTCAGTTCCTTAACTACTCACCTCAGACGGAACCTTAGCAGATGTCTGCATTGAGTTTTATCTCGACTGTGTCCCCTTAGCTCTTCTAATAGTTAATTATAGTTGTTCTTAGTAGTAGTTTTAGCTGTAGTAGTTTCTAAAAAGTGTTTGGATTTTTTTTTTTTTTTTTTTTTTTTTTTTTTCCCTCCTTGGATTTTTTTTTTTTTTGGAAAGGCATGCCTGGTTTTCCTGGTGTCAAACATTGCCTGTCATGCCAGGAGGCAATCCCTGGTGAGTGACTGGCAATCCCGGTGCATTTGTTGCTTTGGGAATCTCATAGTTCCCCAAAATGCAACTTCTGTGTGGCATTTAAAATCTAGAGCCAGAAAATACAGGAAGCTCAAACTTCAACTCCTCATGATGGAGAGCTCACTGTGCCTGGCCTCTGACCCTAGCCAGGGGACCAGCCCCTGTTGGCTGGTCTCTGAATAAGTCTGTTGTCTCCACTGTCTCCAAACCGCACTCCTCAAGGGTATCTAACAGGAATACCCAAGCTTTCTCTCATAATACTCCCAAAGACCGTCCCTCAAGTTCTCCAGATAGGGAATCTACCTCAAAAGGAAGTCACTGTCTCTGATGACACCAGCCTCTTCAGCACCCACTGCTCTCCAATCTGGTACTTACGAGACTGCTGGTTCCTCAGGTACTGAGGGCATGATCAAGCCTAAAGACTATGAAGTCCCAGGCTCTGAGAGGTCATTTGGTACTGTCAACGGATCAAGGCAGCAAGAAGAGCACTACCTCTTCTCACTCAGTATCGAAGATGCCCAATTGGGCTTCATCTGGAGGTCTCCTCTTGGAGTGGTTGAGATTCCTAGTATTGTCAACTCCCTCTGCCATTATCACTTTGGTGCAGGCCATGGATATGGTGCCAACACTGCTCTTGGTACTGCAGGAGTTTCATTTTCCCCTAGACCTGGCTGTGTCCGAGACACCTGACTCATCATTGCTCAGTTCTGATCTGTTCTCTGCCTAGGATCTCCAGATTCCCAGACACCTTGCAGGTACTGATGGTTGTACCTCAAGTTTCTTCTGCTGCTCCACCACTTCACAGTGACTTGGAAAAGGAGGTTTCTCATGAAGATCTTATCTTCGTTTCTCAAATATCTGTCTGAGGCTCTCCACTCCATTCCTATAGAGGCTCTTTTCCATAGGTCTCTGAGGAAGTTGATCTCCGTCATGAGAGATGTCTACAACCACCATCTTGCTGGTACAAACACTAATGGATTCCTCCACCCATGCCATATTCGCCACCCCCTTGGCCATGCTGGGAGTTGGGACCCCTAGGTGGCCTGTCATTGGCAGTTCTCTAGGGCCTCGAACATCATCTGTCAGAGGTAGACAACTTTCATCACCCTCTCTCCAGGAGACCAGAACCTCAGGAAGAAACCTTTGAGGAACAGGAAACTAGGGCTGATGAAGAGATCTCTCCACTAGCCAGCATCTCTTCTCCATGCCCGGATGAAGTGGTCATGCCACTCCACCATCCCTGGCTGACTATTTTAAACAGTTCTAGGACCTTATCAAGATGGTCGCAGATTCTTTGTAGATCCTTCTTCAGTAGGTTAAAGAATCACATCAGAAGCTGCTTGACATTCTTCATATAGCTTCATCTGCTCACCTTGCCTTTCCTGTTAACCTTTTCCAGGGCCTCATTATCTGGCACACCTGGCCTCAATTCTACCCATGTTCGAGAGAACAGACAAAAAAATATTATGTCCCCTCAAAGGACTCAGAATTTTTATTTTCTCATCCCTGTCCTTAGTCCTTGCTGGTCGAGGTGGTTAACGAACATGGAAGGCAGCACCATGTTAACGCAGTTCCCTATGATAAAGATCATAAGCACCTTGACCTGTTGGGTACAAAATCATATTTGTCAGCAACTTTATAATTTAGAATCACCAACTACCAGGCATTAATGGCCAAGTACAACTATACAAATTATACCAAGCTGAACTCCTTTATTGAACATCTACCATTGGAACACAGAGAGCAATTCCAGGCAATTATTGCAAAGGCCAGCTGATCTCTTCAGACCTCCCTGGCTGCTGCTGCAGCCACTGGTTTGATTTCTATGGTGATAGTTATGAAGAGGGCCTCCTGGATTCAGATCTCAGGATTTCCAAAGGATATCCAGAATACAGTTGAAGACTTTCCTTTTGATGGCACTAAGCTGTTTGCACGGACGATTTTCTGATGCATATTTCCATATAGCAGTCCACACATCCCACAAAAGATTCCTATGTTTTACTGTCGTTCAGGCCCATTTTCAGTTCAGGGTGCTCCCTTTTGGCTTATGGTCTGCCCCAAAGGCCTTTTCAAAGATCATCAGTAGTAGCAGCACACTTCCGCTAAATGGTTGGCTTCTGAAAGGCTGCTTCCTGGACCTAACTTCGCATGCAACTTGTGAGGGCATAGATCTCTTTCTCAAATTGGGCCTACAACTGAATACTTCAAAAATCCACCTTGACCCTTGGGCCCCTATACATACCTTTTGGTGAGCATTATGCAATAACTCATGATTCGGCTGTATTTTCTTCAGTACTGGACTTGACCTCGAAGCCCCCTCCTCCTTAAAGGGAACTTTGCTTGGTAGTCACCTAGAGTGGAGCACCCATAGGGACACTACTAGAAGAAGAAATGGTTACTTACACCATGCAGTAACTATCGTTCTTCGTAATGTGTCCCCCTGTGGGTGCTCTGCCACTTGCTCTCGTTCTCTGCTATGGAGCTTCGTGGTAGAGAAGGAACTGAAGGCGGTTCACCCACTCAGTGCTATATAACAATACGGACCATGAGACTGAGTAATACGCACATACGGGCAGCATAGATGCTGTTATGAAAAATCTACGACCAAAGGTGCAGGGTGCATCCACAGGGACACATCTCGAAGACTCAGTTACTGCACAGGGGGAGTATACACTTTCTCCCATGTCCATTGAGGATAGGACAAGAAGTCATCTGTTTAGTTGCAGCAAGAGTGATTTAAGTTAGATATTAGGCGAAACTTTATTACTATAAGGATAATAAAACACTGGAAGAGATTACTTAGGGAGGTTGTGCAATCCCTGTCATTGGATATTTTTAAGAACAGGTTAAACAAACACATGTCAGTCCCCAGGAGAGTGGGGCGGGGTGGGGAAAGATGAACTATATGACCTCTTGAGGTCCCTTCCAGTCCTATCCTGCTATGATTCTTTGATTTCTAGGGACTATAGTGCTTCAAATTGGGAAGAGTTAATATAACTAATGTTTATGGTGGGGAGTAGTTTTTCTAAATTTGGGGGGAAACTGTTGTTTGTTGTAGCTTCAATGTCTTGACTGAAGGAAGAGCTGTCTGGAAGTTCCAGTCTATAGAATGGGGATGGGCACATGCTGCTGTTTATGCTGGAATGGGTGGACTTCTGGCAGTCTTTTCTTACCTTCCTGGTGTTTTCATGTGGACATGATCCTCTCCTTGCAAAATCTCTGTTCCAGGAGAGACCTTTGCTGCATCCTCCCTCATGTCTCTTGCATGTTTTTGTTCTTGGAGCTATATGCTGTGATATAGATATGTAACTTTTATAACAGGATCTTATGCTTGCCATAAGCTATTACTTTTCTTTTACAGTTTGGAAGAACAGAAGTAATTGACAATACTTTAAATCCAGATTTTGTAAGAAAATTCATCATGGACTACTTTTTTGAAGAAAGAGAGAACCTGCGGTTTGATTTGTAAGTTAATCAACAGACCTTTGATTCGAATGTCATTAGCACTGTGAAAATGCACCGATGTTTTGTCAAGGCAACCAGTGGTTTACTTTTGAAGAAGTGACATCTTAATGTGAAGTAGATTAATTTGGATGAATGTGGTGATTTATATTTATCCAAATCGAATAATTATGTAAAATGGTAAGCCATTACGAGCGAGTGTGAGGAATGAGTGGATGTCTAGTGGTTAAAAGTATTGCTTTGTTTTTATAAAATCTTTTATAAGATCAGAGTTTTGAAAAACTTAAAAATTCATTAAATTGTTATGAAATGGTAAATGTACTTGTGGCATATTAGCAAACAAGGTGTGAAGCAAACGCTCCAAGTGTAAATTATCACACATTAATTGCAGATTTAGTTTTTTTTAATCAAAATAAGACATGACTCCACCCACAGATACAAGTGTACATCTGATAATACTGGCTTGGCATTTTAAGTTGGAGATAATTGTTTAAGAAGCGACTGAAATTTGACATTGTTCCAAATAATAGCCTAATTCTGTCCTTCCTATTTTTTTCTGTAGTTTTTATCCTCCTACATATAATCTGAGGGTTAAGCCATTTACAGAATAAACACATCCAAGAAGATGTCTCCTTGTGCTACCTATAGGTACAAATTCTATGGGAAAAAATAGGGCCTTTTGATATTCTTGATGAACTAAGCCAGATGCTGTCTACATGGAAATAGTAGTAATAATCCATAATAATAACTCCCTTTGTATATCTCAAAGTACTTCATAAAGTGGGTGAGTATTCTTATCTCTGTTTTATAGATGGCAAAACATAGGGGGAGAGAGAGAGAATGAATATGCCCAGTTAAATGCACAAGGAGGCAGAATTAAGGTGGGGCAGGCAACCGTAAAACTGCCATTTCCTATGGGCTTGTCTACACTACACACCAGATTGGCGGGCAGTGATTGATCCAGCGGGGATCGATTTATATCTGTCGCCAAGTCTTTTCAATGTTCACGCAGAAATTCACTATGAGATGAGGCCTGAAAGGTTTTCAGACTAGACAAAGCTGGGATTTCCACTGGTGGACCTTTTTAATCAACTTCAGATACTCTGATGACATGGTGCTCTTTTCTACAACAACCAATGCAATGCAACAAATGTAGCCTGTGAAAACAGTTTGTGAAGAATAAGAATGAGGAGTACTTGCAGCACCTTAGAGACTACAAATTTATTTGGGCATAAGCTTTCGTGGGCTAAAACCCACTTCATCAGATGCATGCAGTGGAAAATACAGTAGGAAGATATATACAGAGAACATGAAAAAATGGGGGTTGCCATACCAACTAATCAATTAAGGTGGGCTATTATCAGCAGGAGAAAAAATACTTTTGTAGTGATAATCAGGATGGCCCATTTCAAACAGTTGACAAGAAGGTGTGAGTAACAGTAGGGGAAAAATTAGCATGGGGAAATAGTTTTTAGTTTGTGTAGTGACCCATCCACTCCCAGTCTTTATTCAAGCCTAATTTAATGGTGTCCAGTTTGCAAATTAATTCCAGTTCTGCAGTTCTACAGTTTCTTGTTAGTCTGTTTTTGAAGTTTTTGTTGTTGAAGAGTTGCAACTTTTAGGTCTGTAATTAAGTGTCCAGGGAAGTTGAAGTGTTCTCCGACTGGTTTTTGAATATTCTAATTCTTGACATCTGATTTGTGTCCATTTATTCTTTTGCGTAAAGACTGTCCGGTTTGGCGGCAGAGGGGCATTGCTGGCACATAATGGCATATATCACATTGGTAGATGTGCAGGTGAACGAGCCCCTGATGGTGTGGCTGATGTGATTAGATCCTATGATGGTGTCCCTTGAATAGCTATGTGGACAGAGTTGGCAATGGGCTTTGTTGCAAGGATAGGTTGAGGAATGTGGACTATCCCTGAATGAATGAAGCAAAAGTGAAAGGCATGCACGTTGACATGATTAACAAAAACAGGATGCAAGTGGACATTACAATCAATAGTCCAGTTGTAGAGGCAACAGGTGAATTCAGTTATCTGGAATTATACATATCCAACCGTGGATGCTGTTCTAAAGAAATCAGAAGAAGAGTAGGAATGGCCCTCCCAGTCATGGCCTCCTTTACAAAAGTTTGGAAAAACAATGGCATCTTGAAATGTATGAAGGTTCAGCTGGTGAAAAACTTTTCTTCCATAGCAATTTATGGATGTGACTTGTGGGAAATTAATGCTACTCATAAGAAGTTTGAAGCCTTTAATAGGTGATGCTGGTGAAGACTCTTGCTTATCTCTGGAATGGAAGAGAAGATGAATGTTTATGTTAAAATATTATGGGAGAGAAGCAGACCCTCTTGTCAGAAATCAACAGGGGATGGATCACTTGATGATTACCTGTTCATTCCCTCTGGGGCACATGGCTTTGTCCGCTGTCGAAAGACAGGATACTGGACTAGATGGACCTTTGGTCTGACCCAGTATGGCCCTTCTTATGTTCTTGACTGTGGATGTTCTACACTTCTTTAAATTTTGGTCCCGCTGACGTAACTGCCCTGCTACTCTGACTTAATACCACCTCCTCAAGAGGCATAGAATGGTCAGTTTAGTTAGGTTGACACCATGTAGTACACCATTGTAGACACTGTGTTACTTATGTTGACTGTTGCTAGCTTCCAGGAGCTGTCCCATAATGCCCTACAGTGACCGCTCAGGTCATTGTTGTGAGCTCCGCTGCCCAGGGAACATGTAGACAGGAAGTGAAGACTCCTTGGAAAGCCCCACGAATTTTTGAAATTCCTTTTCCTGGTCTCTCAGCTTTGTGAGCAAACCTAGCAGCTCTCGATTGCTATGTGCAACCGCCCAGCTTACCATGTCGGCAACACACTGCAGATGTGCTCTGGTCTGGAGTACACTGGAGGTGTTGGATGTCCTGGGTCTGTGGGTGAAGAGGCTTTGCAGGGATAGCTCCGATCCAGCTGTAGAAACATTGACATCTATGAGCAGATTGCTTGGGGTATGCAGAAGAAGGGCTACAACAGTGACCAGCAGCGGTGCTGTGTGAAAGCTAAGGATCTGCGGCAGGTGTACCAGAAGGCCAGGGAGGCCAACAATCCCTCCAATGCGAAGCTGCAGATCTGCTACAGATCTGCTACAGATCAGGCAGGCTGCTACATTGTGCTCTGCCTGAGGGGACAGAGCCTGCATATCACCTGCCTCCAAATACCCCGAAGCCCTGCCCCTCCACGCCAAGCACGCCGCAATAGTGAGCCAGTGGGATAGTTTCTTTCTCGTTCATTCGCTCACTCATCCACGCCCCCCAACAGTGATTGACATCTCCCCAAGAACACAGGCCCAGCCCCCCTCCCTGCGTTGATTTTTGGCTGCTCTGGGGTGCCCAGGAGGAGCGAGTGACCATTCTTGCAGCTTCCCTTTGCTTACCCTTAGAAGTCATTTTTGTGTGGGGAAGCAAAGAAATCTGTGGACAGCATGAATTCTGCGCCCATGCAATGGTGCAGAATTCTCCTAGGAGTAATACCACTCTGGCTCACTATTAAAATGTTCTTTCAAAGCCTCCCTGAGCCCATCTAGCTTGGTATTGAGTTCTACTTGTAGCCTTTGTATCTGGCTGTTCAAATTCAGCAGACAGCCACTCCATCCCAGAGGAATCTTCCCCCTTTGCTTCACAGATATTTTGTAGGACACAGAAGGCAGCTATAATTAATGAGATTTTTTTTCACGGAGGTCCAATCTCATAACCAATCTCATAATTAGACAACGCTGGCAACTCTTCAAATGACTAAAGGCACATTCAACTGTCATTCTCCACCTGATGAGCCTGTAGTTGAAGTGCTCCTTGGTGCTGTTGCGGTGGCTGGTGTATGACTTCATTAGCCCTGGGAGTAAGGCATATGCTGGGTCTCTCATGTCCACTGATTGGCATTTCAACATTTTCAATGGTAATCCGCCGCTCGGGAAAGAAAGTCCCTGCTTGCAGCTTTCTGAACAGTCCTGCGTTCTTTAAAATGCATTCATCGTGGTAAAGTGATCCACCAGCACTTGCATTAGCATAGAAAAGTAGCCCTTTCTGTTGATGTACTCCGTAGCAAGGAGGTCTGGTGCTAAAATAGGGATATGTGTGCCATCTATCGCCCCACTCCAGTTTGGGAACACCGTTGCAGCAAAACCATCCATTATGTCCTGCATATTACCCAGAGTCCTAGTCCTGTGTAACAGGAGGTGATTAATGGCGCTGCACGCTTGCATGACAGTTGCTCCTGTTGTGGATTTCCTGATTCCAAATTGATTGCTACCAGTCAGTCAGTAATCTCGCACTGCAAGTTTCCACAGTGCAATCACCACTTATTTCTCAACTGTCAGCACAGCTCTCATTTTGGTGTCCCTGCATTGGAGGGCTGGAGTGAGTTTGGCACAGATCCAAGAATGTGGCCTTGTGCATCTGAAAATTCTGCAGCTACTGCTAGTCATCCCAAACCTGCATGATAATGCAATCTCACCAGTCAGTGCTTGTTTCTCGGGGCCAGAAACAGCGTTCCACCATCTGCAGCTGCTCCGTGAATACCGCCAACCATCTTGAATTGTTTCTATGTCCCACAGCAATCTAGCTTCCAAGGACTCATCATGTTCCCCACAGCTCTTCTTGCGGCTCTACAAATACTGCAGGATCAGGTACCCGGTGCATGCAATGCTCTTGACAGTAGTGCAGAGATGTGCAGAGTCTGAGCTTCTGTCAAAGATGGTGGACAGTGAGGATGGATGCATGGATTTGTGGGGATTTTGAAAAGAGGCAAAAATATAAGATACAGATGAAATTATAGGATGGAGAACACTGCATTGTGGGAAATTGAACACATGCTCCTAGACACCCTTGTGTGACTCATTTCGGCTTCATGAAGCATTGCAAAAATGTCCTAAAACACCCTGCACTGGATGGTGGCAAGTTGCACGGTGAGATAGCTACCCGTGGTGCACTGCATTCTGCATTGATACAAGCACTTCTGGTGAGGATGTGCATCGCTAACAAAAAGGAGCGTAGTATGCACACGCACAAGCAATGTAATAACTCTGACAGCTGTATGCTGACATTACCTAGGTCAACATAATTTTGTAGTGTAGACATGGCCTTTAGTAAATATAAGCTGTGTGGTTTTAGTAGTTTGTTGGAGTTATCTGCTGGAGAGGTTACCCCACCGTGACTCTGTCTGATCAGCAGAGCTTCAGTGTTTTGTAACTTTGTTTCCTCAATAAAGAGCTGTTTGTTACTTACCAAGACTTTAGAATCTGTTGTCTTGGACAAGATGGGTGGCAGGTGGAAACCCATGTGGAGTACTATCACTTAGGAAGGCAAACCTGCATAGTGATCCCCAACACCTTATAATGGCTTTTAATTTTTTTAAATGTATGAAATCTTAATACTGTAATTTAAAAACTAAACAAAACATTGAAGTGTACATTCAGCTACGGGCTCGCCTCATGGAGTCCGCCCTGTGTCTGGCCTCCGTGCAGCCCCGCAAGGACTCGCCAAGTACCTCGGCCTTGATGTGCAGTGTGCCCCCATCGCCGGTGCCCAAAAAGACGACCAAAAAACATGGCTCCCCGGCACCAGGCAAGGCACCTGCTTCAGGCTACCTGGCCACTCTGCAGCCGTGTGCTTGTACCTCTCCAGTCGGGGCCCTTAGCCCTGTGAAAGGTCCACCACTGACTCCTGGGAGCGGTATGGGACCAAAAACCCTGGCAGCACCAACGCCTTCACAGACTCCCCTGGTGCCGAGAGAGCACAGGTCTCGCCTGCGCTGCTGATGCTGCATGTGCTCGAGGAACTGGCAAAGGCTCCCCACGAGGGCAAGTCAGCAGCTAAGACTCCTCAGGTGGCACGGGAGCATCACCGATCCTCTGACAAAGTACCGCTTTCCACCTCCGTGCCGAAGTCGCAGATCAGGTCCTCTGGGGCTCATCCTCGTTCACCATGTTTGCGGTTGCCACCATCTCGATGCAGATCGCCTAGAGCAAGACGCTGGTCTCTGTACTACCGACGCTGCTTGCCCTCCCACTGATTGTCCTTTAGGTGCAGTTCCCTGTCGCCTGCCTTGTGGGAGCGATCCCCATCTTGTCTCTGTTTTCCCCCCGCCCCCCAGCAGCGGCCTGGTCCCCTTGTTACCGGCACTGATCACTTCGCTCGGGGCACCGGTCTTTGATGGTGACGGTCAGTAAACAGACCCAGGCATCGACGGCCCAACCGTGGTCACTGAAAGGAGATTCCTCCGGCACTGAAGCCCAGTTCAGCCCCTCATCTAGACTGCACTCTTAGCTTGCTGGGCATGCATACCCCACAGCTTGCAAGAAAGTAGTTCCGGTCGCCCCTGCCGCCTAGGTCTTGACAGTCTCGTGAGGGATCTGCAAGAAGAAGGGACAGCTGCTGTCGCCCTTCCTACTCCCGCTCACCCGTGCAACCTGACCTGGTAAAACACCCCGAGGGCCAGAAATGCTCGTTTTGTGGGTGTGGTCGAGAATGGCGCCCCAGTCACCTTTGAGGATCCGCCCTGCTCTTTCCTCAACCGTCTTTGTCCCTTCCGTTCGGCCTGGTCCCAAGTCACCTCAGACATAGTGTCTCATGGTTGCACCCTGCAGTTTTCAGCTGTCCCTCCCTCATCAGGGACCCTTCTCACAAGCAACTTCTCATTCAAGAAGGGCAGTGGAGGAGGTCCCTGGGAACACGAAAGGGGTTCTCCTGCTACTTTCTAATTCCGAAAGTAAAAGGGGACTTGCAACGTTTCAACAAGTCTCTCAAAAAGTTGAAGTTTTGCATGGTCTCCTTGGCCTCTATCCCCTCCCTGGATCCAGGAGACAGGTACGCCGCCCTCGACTTTGAAGGTGCCTATTTCCACATCTCCATATTTCAAGGTCACAGATGTTTCCTCTGTTTTATGGTGGGCGAACACCATTTCCAATTTATGGCTCTCCCCTCTGGCCTTTCATCGACTCCAAAGGTCATTACAAAATGTATGGCGCCAGTAGTCGCTTACCTCATGTGTCAAGGAGTCCAGGTCTTCCCGTATCTTGACAACTGGCTCATCAAGGGCAGGTCTCGGGATCAAGTGCAGAGAAGTCTCTATCTGGTTCGTTCCATCTGCCACAACCTGGGCCTGTTGATAAACGAGAAAAAATCCAACTTAAAGCCGGTCCAACACACAGAGTTCATAGAAGTGGTTCTCGATTCCACCTGAGCCAGAGCCTTCCTCCCGTAGGTGCGTTTTCAGGCCATGTTGGACCTCATATCCCAGGTGAAGAACCTCCCGCTCACTACATCTTTCACTTGCCTGTGGTTGCTGGGCCACATGGCAGACTGTACATATGTGGTCAGTCCTGCCCGGCTCCACCTCCGGCGTCTGCAAGCATGGCTGGCGTCAGTTTACATCCCCAACAGACATGATTTAGACTGGATAGTCAGGGTGCCGGATCACATCTTGTCATCCCTCGATTGGTGGTGGAATACTGGGTCGGTGTTGGAGGGAGTCCCTTTTTTGACCCTATTCCCATTGCTGACCCTGCTCTATGTTGCTTTGGGTCTGGGCTGGGAAGCCCACCTGGGCGAGCTGAGCACCCAAAGCCGATGGTTGCGGGACAGTCTAGCCCTCCACATCAACGTCAGGCAGCTCAGAGTGGTTTGCCTGGCCTGCCGGGCTTTCTTACCCCACCTGAGGGGCAAGGTGGTGCAGGTTCCCACGGACAATACCACTGCAATGTACTACATGAACAAACAGGTGGAGCCAGGTCGTCAACCCTCTGCCAAGAAGCTCTCAGCCTTTGGCCCTTCTGCGTACGGCATGCCATTAATCTGGTAGCTGCGCACCTGCCCGGCACCAAGAATGTGCTAGCAGATCGCCTCAGGAGGACCTTTTCATCTCAGCACAAGTGGTCGCTCCATCCGGAGTCACCCAATATGATCTTCTGAAAGTGGGGAACTCCCCAGGTGGACTTGTTCACATCCCGCCAGAACAGGAAATGCCATGTATTCTGTTCGCTCCAGGGGATGGACAGGGGTTCCCTGTCAGATGCTTTCCTGCTTCCGTGGGTGGGAGCCCAGATGTACGCCTTCCCACCAGTGCCATTGATTCAGAGTCCTCATAAAAGATCAAACAGGATAGGGCGAGGGTTATCCTGATAGCCCCCAAGTGGCCTCACCAGCAACCTTTCGGTAGCCAAGCCGCTGCAACTCCCTCTCTGGCCGGACATGCTGTCCCAGAACCACAGCAGTCTCCTGCACCCAAACTTGGAGGCGCTGCACTTGACGGCGTGGCTGCTGCATGGCGGAATGCTCGACCCGGGTGCAACAGGTCTTGCTGGGAAGCAGAAAGTACTCCACCAGAGCGACCTATTGGGCAAAGTGGAAAAGATTCACATGCTCGGTTCGGTGCGTCCGGGCTGAGCAGGCCTCGCTGCAGGTGATCCTGGTCTATCTTTTGCACCTCAAACTTCAGGGCTTGTCCCTGTTGTCAGTCATGGTCCACCTGGCTGCTATTTCAGCTTTCCACCCTCCATTCCAAGACAGGTCGGTCTTCACTCATGACATGATGGCCCAGTTCCTGAAAGGTCTGGAGCATCTTTACCCTCATATCTGGGATTCTGTTCCTCCCAGGGATTTGAATCTAGTGCTGTCAAGGCTCATGGGGCCTCCATTCGAACCTCTGGCTTCCTGCTCTTTTGTCCTTCTCTCCTGGAAAGTGGTGTTCCTGGTGTCAGTTCTGTCTGTCCACCGTGTGCCTGAGCTCAGAGCGCTTATGTCAGAACCACCCTGTACCAGTGTTCTACAAAGACAAGGTCCAGCTGTGGCTGCACCTGGCATTCCTGCCCAAGGTACTTTCCCAATTTCATACTGGACAGGGTATTTTCTTACTGGTCGTCTTTCCGCAGCCCCATAAATCTGAAGCGGAGGGCAGGTTACACGCCCTGGATGTCCGGAGGGCTCTGGCTTTCCACATTGCTAGGACACTGCCGTTCTGTAAGTCAACATAGTTGTTCGTGGCAGATAGGATTAAAGGTTGCTCTCTGTCTGCTCAAAGGATTTCGTCCTGGATCACAGCCTGCATCCAGTACTGCTACGAGCTGGCGAGTGTGCCTCCACCGGCAATAGTCAAAGCGCACTCGACTAGAGACCAAGTGTCATCTGTGGCCTTAGCCCTGGTGCCAATCCAGGAGCTCTGTAGAGCTGCTACTTGGACATCTGTCCACATTTACGTCCCATTATGTGCTGACACAGCAGGCCCAGGACGATGCTGACTTCGGCAGGGCAATGCTGCAAGACCGTGAACTCCGAGCCCATCTCCATTGGCACTGCTTGTGAGTCACCTAGAATGGAATCGACATGAGAAATCACTTTAAGAAAAACGGTTATCTACCTTTTGTAACTGTTCTTCAAGATGTGTTGCTCATGTCCATTCCATTACCCATCTTCCTGCCCCTCTGTCGGAGTTGCTGGCAAAAAGGAACTGAGAGGGAGTAGGGTCGGTGGCACCTGATATACCGGCGCATGAGCGCGCCACTCAAGGGGGCGCCACTGTTGACCCTCCAGATACCGCTAAGGCAAAAATCTCCGACGACTGCGCACCTAGAATGGAATGGACATGAGCAACACATCTAGAAGAACAACAATTACTAAAGGTAGATAACCGTTTTTTTTATGGAACAGGTTAGTAACCTTTTTTTCTGGTATGAGGGTTTCTCATTTACTACTGAAGTTTCTATTCAAAAGTCTTTATATCAATTCTGCATATTTGTTTTGTGTATGTGAATACACTGGAATGTCTGTTTTTACATTTCCTTAACGCTGCCACCTGGGAGTAATTGTTTTTCTTTAATTCTTTAGGTATGATGTTGATTCAAAGAGTCCCAACCTATCAAAGCATGTAAGTGGATGGTTATAATACTCTATTTATTATGGGTTTTTTCCTTATCTTGTAATTAAAAAGTTACGCTATCTTCTAGAACGTTTATGGTATTTACCGGCAAATAGTGTCAAATGCAGCAGACACAAATACAGGGATTGTGGTGTGTTGTGATTTAGATGTGCATAACTCTTTGCTAAAATGGGATTTTTACATGTCCATCATGCAGAATGTACATTGGGAATGGACATATTTTTTTAAAAGTTAATATCTGTTTAGATAAATGAAGGACATCATCTCCTTATTGACACTTTTGTGGGGCCCAAGAGTTGAGGCAATCTACTTGCTGGTGCATGGATTTTTCTAACTAGAAATCTTTAGCACTTGTAGCGTCATGGAAAGGAAAAGTTCCAGATTATGCAGTATTTTAATTCAGATATACTAGAGCATGATAGAGAGGCTGTAATATCTGTTGAGTATAACTATTTTATTAATAAGTGAAGGGAGACTTTGGAGGAGGAATCCCTGAGAATCTGTAGTCTGTTTGGAAGAACAGGGTAGAAGAGGTTCATTGGGAGCATTGTGCAGGCACCTGCAGGGAACTCTACAGCTCATTTGGGGAAGAAAAAGGGTAGGTTTGCTGGGGCTGCGGGGTGGGGAGAGTGGTTTGGCTCTGACATTTAAGTGATTCAGAAATTTTGGGTTGCAGAGACTGTTTCATTATAATCTATATTCAAGAGAGAGTTAAAAAATCAAGATGCTGCATCTCAAGAATCTCCACCAATTAAAAAAGGACAATGATTTAAATGTGGAATATCATCTTTTTAAATTAAAGGCATTTCTGTTTTGCATTTTTTTAAATATATGTCCACATAACCCACACAAACCAAAGCAAATATTTGTAGAATTCAGTAAATCTTTTAAACTACTTGTCAAAACCTTAAAAAAAAAAAAAAATCAATCACAGGCTCTTTTCAATGGATCTTATAATATGGATGGGGGGAAGGGTTCCATATTTTTGGGAAGGTGAGTGGTTTATTTGTTGTGACAGGAAGAGGTGGTTTGAGCATTGGCCTGCTAAACCCAGGGTTGTGAGTTCAGTCCTTGAGGGGGGCCACTTAGGGATCTGGGGCAAAATCAGTACTTGGTCCTGCTATTGAAGACAGGGTCCCAGACTCGATGACCTTTCAGGGTCCCCTCCAGTTCTATGAGGTAGGTATATCTCCATATATATTATAAGAGGTTATTCTGGGGAGCAATGAATGGGAATGGGGGTAATTTGGGGGTCAGAGAATTGGAGTGGGGCTATGGTAGGGTGACAGAAAGGGTGGGTGAGGTCTGTTTGTTGGCTATAGGGGATCTCTCCTTGGGAGAGGCAGGGGGTTCCCTAAGCCCAGCCCCACTCACTGAGCTGCCATTTGGGGGTAGAGGGCAGAGGGAATGAGCCAAATTTCATAACTTCCATAGGGCCCTGGATGGATTCAAATGTCACTTTCACTCAGAGTGGGTAGGAGGGAGACCCCTCACCCCTGCAAAGGGCTTTTGTCCCAGCCTTCCCAGCTTCAGGGGCTGTGGTCTGTCTCCTGCCAGTGGAGTGAAGGGGGGCTCTGGCCTAGAAGGACCAAGGGGAGCCTGAGGAAACAGAAGAGGAAGGGCTGATCAGAGAAGCCCCTGGATGCTGGGCTGTTCCGGGTGTGGGATGCTCCGGGGAAGGAAAATGGGGAGGGTAGAGAAAAGGTTCAAAGGCTATTCATGTAGAACACACAATAGAATAGAAATTCATAAATAATTATAATTAATTATTACATTTTAGAATTTGGTCCACTGAAATGGAGGCAAAATTAAAGTAGTATTCATCATGTGTTAGTCACACAATTCTAAAACATATACTTTAAAGGCACGTTAGTTGTTGGATCCTGTTTCCAGGTGCTTATATCTATAATAATAAAATTGTCTTTTGTTCTGACATTTGTCAGCCCAAAGTGGATGTGTTTTGAAGGAGAAATATTCAGTTAAAGTTGTCTAAAGCTTGAAAAACAAACCTTGTCCATGTTTTGAGAAAATTAATATGCTTCACTGTGCTTAGGTAATTAAAAATGGCTTAATTGTAAAATTTCAAACTTCTGGCCTGATTGAAGATTCATTGAAGTCCTTGGAAAATTTCCCATTTATTTCAGTGGGCATTTTAGCAGACCCTAGTACTTAACTGAGAGTGACTTCAATGTGCTTTGATGAAATAATGCTTAGAAATAACAAAATTATAAGTGATTTTGAAAATCTCATACAGGTTGACAGTATGAGCGAATATTACCGCTTCTTCCAGTTATGGTCCCTATGTGTGCTCCACATGTGCACCCATGCACTCTTTGTCAGAGATTTTGTCAGCAGTGTCCATGGGTCTGCGCCTGCATCCTACGCACCCTCTTGGTCTGGCACATGAATATGTAGGAAGGGGTGGTCCTGCTGCCACTCCAATTCCTTCTCAACCACAGGTGCTTGAGATGGAGTGTTGTGTCTGCGTGCTAGCTACCTATCTTGCTGTTTTTTTTCCTCTTATTTGTTTTTATTTCTTTAGTATATAGTTAAGGCCCTACCAAATTCACGGCCATGAAAAATGCCTCATGGACCGTGAAATCTGGTCTTTTGTGTGCTTTTACCCTATATTATACAGATTTAATGGGGGAGACCATTGTTTCTCAAATTGGGGGTGCTGACCCAAAAGGGAGTTGCAGGGGGTGTGCAAGGTTATTTTAGGGGAGTTTTGGTATTGTCACCATTACTTCTGCGCTGTCTTCAGAGCTGGGCGGCTCGAGGGAGGTGGCTGCTGGCTGGGTGCCCAGCTCTGAAGGCAGCGACTCGCCAGCAGCAGTGCAGGAGTAAGGGTGGCAATACCATACCATACCATACCATACCATACCATACCATACCATACCATACCATACCATACCATACCACACCACACCATGCCATCTTTACTTCTGCGGGCAGTGGCTCGCCGGCGGCGGCTCTGCCTTTCCTGCTGCCCAGCTCTGAAGGCAGCACAGAAGTAAGGGTAGCTATACCTCAACCCCCTCCTACAATAACCTTGCGACACCCCCCCCCAACTCTTTTTTGGGTCAGGACCCCTACAATTACAACATGGTGAAATTTCAGATTTAAATAGCAGAAATCATGAAATTTATTATGTTTAAAATCTGGTTTAAAATTGCAATTGACCGTGAATTTTTATTTTTATTCCATTTCATAATTTATTTAAGATACCTTTGTTCTTTTGCGGAGTTCCCCTGCCCCATTCTTCTTTGCCTAGTCTGATCCTACCTTCCAACTTGGCCTTCCCTGTCTTCAGCCTTTCTTAGCTCTGGTGACCATCCTGGCTCCGGTAAGAAAAGGCTTTGGGGGACCCTCAGAGTCTTCCAGACTATCAGAAAGAAAGATATTCCATTTTGTGGAAAGAGAGACCAAAAGAAGGGGAAGAGACTTGAGAAAAAAGACACATCATGTCCTAGCATGGGTACTGCTGAGGTGTTTACATCTTCCAGTATCGCGACTCTAGCACTGCCAAAGAAGACCATGTTGCATTCTGAGAAACCTTCCAAGAAGCAATCTTGAGTGAGTGGCATCAGCATCTGTATTAGGATTGGCGCCTTTCTAAGCACAAGAACAACTAGCTACTTAAGGATTGCTCCTTTCTCAAAGTGCAGTTGGTAACCAACGAGGCCCTATCTTTTTTCCGCTCCTTGGGCATCTGACTCAACATAGAAAAATCTATTCTCATACCTATACAATCAATAGACTTCATTGGTGCCAGTCTGGACTCCGCTACTTCCTGAACATACTTGTCCACCGATAGGTTCACTGCAATGCACAGTCTCACTTCCATGATACAGCAAAGCCTGCAAACCATAGCAAGGTTTTGCCTTCAACCCCTGGACCACGTGGCAGCTCGTCCTTTTGTAACATCCCTGGCAAGACTACACTCCCGTTGTCTTCAAGCCTGGCTCAGGTCTGTCTACACACCCATCAAGCATCATCTGTCTAAGGGGGTATCAATATCTCAATGGGTCCTCAACTCCCACAAAGACCTTTTGGATCCTTCCACTAAGTGTAAGGGTTTTCCATTGTTACATTCTCCTGATATGCTTGCCATCACTTCCTACCCAACATCAAGGGCCACTCAATGTTACAACTGTGGTGTGGGTGGTCAGGCCCAGTGGCTAGCACAGGAGTCATGCCTAGTGGTTAGTGTGGGAGCCAAGGGCCAAGCTGAGGCATCGGAGCTGGAGTCAGGAGCTCTCAGGGAAGCAGAGGACTGGAGTAAGACAGGAACAAGGCTGTGAATGAGGTAGGGGAAAGGCTGGAGCAAGACTGGGGACAAGGCTGTCAAGGGATTAATCACATTTGTGGACATAAGTGTTGAGCAGCCAACGACCTGCTGCTGAGCAGACCTGCTGGCTCCCTTCAGCCAATCAGGCAGTCCTACCACAACCCAGCTAAGTTTATTAATTTACGTGGAGACTGGGCTGGCTAGTCCTCAGTCTCAGCTGAAGGAGCTAATTCCTGACACTTGATCAGAGTAATGCTGGACAATAGAGCAGCAGTATATTCATTAAAGAGCCAAGGAGAAGAAAGATCCCAGCCTTACGCTTAGAATCCATAAACTTTGGAATTGGTGCACCTCCCACTGCATAGAGATTTCAGCTATTTATCTACTGGGATTGCAGAACAACATAGTGGACTCCTTGATTAGTGTTTCTGTCATGACCACAAGTGGGTGCTGAACAAGGCAGTATTTCAGAAAATTTCTCTTAACTCGTACTCACCAGAGGTAGATCTCTATGTTGACACCGTCCTATATGAAGTCTCAAAGGTTCTGCTTGAAAGGAGGACACAGTTGCAAGTTGTTGGGAGATGCTGTCCTTACCCGTTGGCTTTGAATATTACTATATCCTTATTCCCCCATCTCTGTCGCTCCTCAAGGTTCTGAGCAAGAGAGACTGGTGGCCATCTTCATAGTGCCATCCTGGCCAAAAACAGGTATGATTCCCAGTCTCTGCAACTGCCTCTCTGCCTTCCTCTGACAGCAGACCTCCTCACCCAGGAATCAGGAGCCATGACTCACCCAACCTCTCATTAATTCACTTCAAAGCCTGGCTCCGAGATAGCTCTCTCCAAGCAGAACTGATCATCAGTAGAAAACCCATCACAAGGAAAATTTACCACCAGAAGTGGAAACATTTTTAAGCCTGGTGTAATCCATACTTCCTCTTGAGTTTCACCTTACACCCACTCTTTTTATTTCCTGCTAAATCTAAAACTCCTGGGTTTATCACTGAACTCAATCAAAGTTCATCTGGCTGCCATTACAACCTTTCACTCCCCACCCTCCCCCTTTTTTTGTCTTTGCTCACCGTGAAGTTCCTTAAGGGTCTGTTTACCTTTTTTTTTCTGCTACTTCCGGATAATGGCAACGTTTTGTTGGGAACCAAGAGACTGCAAATCAGCAGAATCAAATGTAGTTGGCTTTTGTGTTCTGGCCACCCTACTAGTATCGCTCTCTTGACCACCTGTAGTTGGATGGCCTTTTCTGTAGCCTCTTTGATTTCCATCAGCTTTGCTGTAGAAACTGGGAAGTTGTGCATCATGTCAGTGGATTTGGCGTCCTAATCCCCTTCCCCCAGCTTGCTGATGTTGGGTATATATATCTTGCTCCGGGTGCCAGCTAACACCAGTACAGTAATTGTCCTGGACAATATTTGAACTCTACTGGACAGAGCTGGAGGTGCATCAACATGTGCTGCAATCTCTTTCGAGCACTAAAAAGGCATTATTGTCTCAAAGGGTTTGTTATCTGATTTCACCGTTACTCGGGGGCCGGCCATATGTGTACTGATGGTATTGCTCCACTCCAAATACCGCAGCCAGAAGCTCTTGTCTATTTGGGCATACACCTGTTCAGTCTCTGATGGGGCTCTGCTGCCATAAGCGACTGACTGCTCCTGCAAGGGAGCTATGCCCAATCCTTTATCTAGTGTGTTACACTGAAGTGTCACTGGCATTCCTGGCTGGTAGTACTTTAGGATGGGTGTCTGTTATCATTTGTTTCATATGCCAAATGCTTGTTGTTGGGGACCTTCCCAGTCCCACTCAACATCCTCCTAGTGAGCTGACCTATTAGTTCCGCTACTGAAGCCAGGAGTGGACAGAACTTGGTCAGAAAATTTATCGTTCCTATGAAGTGCTGTAACCCTTTCACATCCACTGGAGCTGGCATATCTCTGATTGTGTTGATCTTGTTGGGATCTGCTTTTGTCCCTCTGCTATGAGCAGATATCCAATGTATGTCACCTCATGCTGTCTGAGTACCATTTTTTTCTGGGTTCAGTTTTATGTTCTTCCTGTATCCCTGTATAAAAGCCTGTAGTTTTCTGCCATGGTCTGATTCAGCTTCTGTATAATTACTCCCTTCACTACAATGAGGCTATCACCTGCCATTATTACCCAAGCAGTGAGTCTTCTCTGGAACACCTCTGGTGCTGACCTTATGCCCATCAACATGCAAAGCCATTTGTAGTGACCAAATGATGTTACAAAGGTTGTCAGCATGCCAGACTCATTCCTCACATCAGATGGTAAAGTCTGGCTTTGGGAAGTCCTGGTAAGATGTTGCTATGCACTGACCACAATTGATAACATCTCTTCAGTGCCTGGTTCAATGTCTGTGTGTCTGTGCAGAAGCATAATATGTCTGGTGACTTCTTTACACCACCGTGCTGTTTATCCAGGCTGTACTGGCCTCTGAAGGTGGTGAGATACTCCTACTCTGCAGACTTCCAAGCTCCTTGAGTACTGAATTACAAAGTGCCACTGGTATTTTCCTTCATGGGCAGCATGCAGGTTCTATTTTGTGGTCTATTTTCAGTTGCAGCTTTCCTTCAAGGCACCCATTGCCTTTGAAAACATCCCCATATGCTTTTAAAATGGTCTCCATTGTCCATGGGACTCCCCTTTTTGTTTCTTGCACTGCAGCTATAGAATTCTGATGCTACACCCTGATCAGATCCATGACTTGTATGGATGTATTCCCCAGTGAGGTCTGTGGAGCTTACCATCCATGACCACAAACTTCAGTTGGTACGGTCTTATTTTTGGGTTGGTTACTGTGAGGTCACATTTTCTCTGAGCTGCATTATGCCCTCGTACATTACAGTAACTTCTCACTTAACGTTGTAGTTATGTTCCTGAAAAATGCGACTTTAAGCAAAACGATGTTAAGCAAATCCAATTTCCCCATAAGAATTAATGTAAATGGGGGGGTTATGTTCCAGGGAAATTGTTTTTCACCAGACAAAAGACTATATTATAACTCTCTCACACACACTCACACTCTCTCTCACACACATAGTGCTTGTAAACGTAAGTGCCTGAAGTTAGGCTCTTAAGTTCATATTTAGGCACCTGCCTGTTTTTTTTTAAAGCGCTGAGCACCCAACAGCCACCATTGAGGTCAATATGCATATTGATCTGATCGAAATTGCAAAACAGACACTGTAGTAACATAGCCTAGTTTCCAAGGTCAATAACCACAGAACCTCACTTTACCTAGTGTCATGCCTATGGAAATAAGTTTATCTTTTATTTGAATGTAGAGAAGTCATACGTTTTAAAATGTTAAGTCTACTATTACTGAATATATTTATTGTGTATATCTCTCATTTGACATTTCTGAAAGATAAATTAACAGTTAATTGTCAATGTTTCCATGTGAATTTCAGGTGTTTCATAGGACCGTAACTTTGTATTTATGGAGTAATTCCTGAGTGTTGTCAAGCATCTACAGTTTCCACTGAAGTCAACTGAAGCTTTTTTAAAGGGAATTGAGGGTGGTTGTTTCAGGCTCTTTTTCCTATTTAGTTATTCTTATCACACTGGATGTTGAGACAACAGGTCCTTCTGTATGTTGTACCTTATTTAAACATGTATAAAAATATTGTCAAACCTGTATAGCAGTGTTTTAGGATACAAGGACATTTTTGAAACTTTGCATTTAATGACTACATTTATTTGTGATTATTATGTTGATTTGTGCAGCATGTCTTAATGAATGATTCTTGTGTCATTAGTTATCTTGATGAGAACTGCAATCACTCTATTTAATATGAATATTGTTTTCTATCTAAAGTACTTATTCACTAAAGGAATTAAACCACTATAGGTCTTCACTTGTCAATTTGTAAAACTGAGTTAGGTCTTTCTCATAACTTATGGTATAGAATTTATGGGAATAGATGCCCTGGAATGCCTCTTGTCTTGAAGTGAGATGGATTTTGAAATGTGATTTGGTTTCCAGTATGCATAGTAGCCTTACCAGAATAAAAAAGCAAGTATCCATTATGAAAGGGACACTTTCCACTAGTTGAAGCCACAGTGACATCTCTGAAGTTGTATAAGGTACAAATCACTGTAGAGTTCAGTCCATTGTGTTAGTTTGGTTAGGGGGAGTCTGATAGACATACTCATTTATACTTATTTTTATTTGAATTACATTTATTGATGAGATTAATAATTTACAAAGCAGTAGATGCAACATTTTGTGCTCTGCTTTTGTAAATTAAACCTAATCATTACTCTCGGGATACCCAGAGATCACTGATGTTACTGGTGCACAAAATAGTCATCAGAAAGCAAAGTTAAATTTCAGGTTTATTTGAAAATAAAGGACAAAAAATCAGGCAAAGGGGAATTATTGCTAGAAAATGCTATTTAAGTTTCTAAGAAAGTATTACAAGAATTAAAAGTTTAATTTTGAATGTAAAAGAGTAACTGAAAGAAACTCCTTTTAGTTTAAAAACCTGGGATGTGTTGCATTATATACTGTACATACTACCGTATTTCTAATTTTAATGTACCTAATTTTATATCAAATATAAGTAAAGTCTGACTTATGAATCATTGTGTAATCCCACGCTATTTAGCAGAATATAAATGCATATACAGATAAAGCTCAATAATGAAAAACAGGATAAATATGTTCTAGGAAAGTTCAAAGACCAGATCAATGAAAAAACAGGATGTATTGGTGTCTTATGACATTTTTTCTTGCTTTTCAGGATTTTTTGGGACAAGTGTTTTGTACACTAGGAGAGATAGTTGGATCACAGGGAAGCAGACTGGAAAAGGCAATTGCGTAAGTGCATCATTCTTGATTCTTGGATAAATAAGTACTGCTTCATAAGGTGTGGTCATTTCTGTTAATTTATAGAGGTACTTTGCCATATGCATTGTGGCAGACAGTGTCTTGGAGAAAATAAATTGACAGGTGACACAAATAATTTTCCATTATAGATTTTTTTATTATATTTCTTTTCTGTTTCAGGTAATTATCAAATTAACTGATGATGTATTTAAATATCTTGTCTCCTTTCTTTGTTCTCAACTCTCTTTTAACTACATCGAGTGTCTTGCCCTTAGCGAGATTTTGTTCTTTTTTGGGATGATGATCTGTTTTATATTTGTAAGTGTAGGTTTAGAAATGGTTCACTATAGAAACAGCTTTGATTGTCTTAATTTTGTCAATAAGATAAATAGCTAGCTTTAATTTTAACCTTAATTTCTTCTTTGAGTGCTATCCCTGTGGGTTCTCCACTTCAGGTGTCCGTGTGTCCCAGTGCCGCTGATTGGAGATTTTCAGTAGCAGTGCCTGGTTGGGGCGTGCGTGCGCAGTGGCTGTCTCACTGTGCTGTTGGTGCTTCATCGAGCACTCGCGTGGCCTGACCCCCTCAGTTCCTTCTCAATCATTCTTGGGTACAGACTGAGCTCCAAAAGCAGTGTCAAAAAAAACCTAGAAAAGAGTTAAAAATAGTTGTTTAACTTTTAATTCTTAGGCTTGTGTTTCCGTTTTTAATTAATTAGCTTTTTCTCTAAATAAACAAAACACTGGGAGAAACCTGTCCATTTTTCTCTTTCATTGAAATGTTTCTAAAAAAAAAAAGACAAAATGAAAATGCCGGGCTCTCCAGGTTTTAAGATGCACTTTGTGCAAGGATGCTATGACTGTCTCCAATGGGCACTCGCAGTGCGTCCGTTGCTTAGGAGAGGTGCACATTTCTCAAAAATGTGCCCACTGCAGCAACCTCAAAGCCAGAGTGAGGTGGGATAGAGATCTCCGACTCAATATGATTCTTATGGAGAAATCCCTAATGCCATCTTCTGATCCTGGAAAAATCCCATTGAGGGACACTCAGGGTGGATTTGATTTAAATCACTAGTCAGGAAGATTCGATTTAATCATGGATTTCTACATAAAAGTGCATTCTTGTTGGTTGTTATAACCTTAATACATATTCTTCACAACTCAGAGATAGATGTAGGTTTCATTTTTAGAAGGTACACACTATATATTTTTTAAGTGATTCATTTTGAAAACTTTTCAGATTAGTTTTACAGCTATATCAGAAAATGAATGATTGTTTGGTTATTTCATTTACCAAAGGTAATCGAAGCAGATAGTTCATCTCCCAATGACTTCATAAATACACCTCTACAGCGATATAACGCGGTAAAGCAGTGCTCCGGGGGGAGGGGCTGCGCACTCTGGTGGATCAAAGCAAGTTCGATGTAGCGCGGTTTCACCTATAATGCGGTAAGATTTTTTGGCTCCCGAGAACAGCGTTATATTGGGGTAGAGGTGTATCTCCAATTCAACAGGTTAATGATTAATATTTGGAGGATTTTCTTGCCATGCTGTATTAGGAGGAGAACATCACCAGACAGACATTTAAATTGTTTTATTTAACTAAAACAACAATGTTACGTATTTTGAATTTTTTTCTTCAATAGCAAACATATATTTTAGCAAAACCAGCATATGAATTTTTGAATTTAATTAAACATTAACAAATTTTAAAATCAGGTTTGTTTTTGTTAAAAACAATTTTAACTAAAATAGTTAAATGAAATATTTAAAAAACAAAAAACAAATTAAATGGACTATGTCAGCCAAGTCAACAGCTCAGAACATAACATAACATAATGAGAAACTTAAAATATTGGCTTCTGCAGCTAACTGAGTCGTCTTCACCTTTGATTTCCTGTTTGTTCATAATCTGGAAAAGAAGAACAAGCTTTCCTGCTTTTTTAGGTCCCAAACGATTTCTCAATTTGGAATGAATTAGTCCAAAGGAAGAAAATATTCTTTCTACACCGGCAGAAGAAGCTACTGCTGTTAAAAGTGAGAATGTCACTTCAACAGTCTCTGATACCAAGTACTTAAGTAACTTCCACCAGTTCACTGGTGTGACTTTTTCTTTAAAACATCATCAGCAAACATATATTTCTTGAATGGTTCACCCTTAGCTCCGAAGTTTATTATAGTTGGCATTATGGAGGGATGATTGCTGGATGTCCATGTCATAGCCAACTCCTCTTCTTCAGCATTTAAGGTTTGACCCTGGTACTGATTGAGAATATTTGCAAGAAAATGAGCTGGAGATAATGCTTGTCCCATTTTTTTTTTTTTTTAATGTTTGTAATTTAACTCTGTCATTGCATATTTTTCTTTTTAAGATCTCACTCAGTTCCTTCCAAATTTCAACAGCGTCAGCAATAAAACCGCTATTTCCCAGCATTTTGTTCAAGGCTACAGAAATAGGCTTCAGCGTACTCAGCATGTGTTCAACATTTCTCTTAAGCCCAATGTTGAGAACTTTGGCTGTGCCAGTGCCATCTATTTTTTCACGATTTTGTTCACAAACTATCATCAGATTAGGCCAGTTCTTGATATAGTGCTCAAAACAGTCCACTACTCAGTTACATCGCACGTCTTGTGAGAGAGTTAGCTTGGTTCCTCCCACTTTTTTCAGAGCAGCTGCTGCAAAGTGGTTGTTACGGAAGTGGTTTTTGCAATTTCAACAACCTTAGCCTTTATTTCTGGAACACTTAAGTCTTTGGCTAGGAGGTGAATCAAATGAACACTGCAACCGTATGTTGTTAGCTTGGGACTCTCTTCTAAATAATTTCTTCTAATCTTGGATACATTTGCAGCATTGTCTGTGACCAAGCTGCGTACTAGATATTTGAATTGTTTTTTTCAGTTTGTTATAGCTTTTACTGCTACTTTTTGTAAGTATTCTGCTGTATGTGCATTTCCTGATGTGGCAATTGTTTCTGTAAGGAAGATATTCCCGTCTTCTGTTGTCACATAAGCACATACAACAGGATCATTGTGGACATTGCTCGACCCATCAAGACTCAGATTAACAATTTTACCCTCTAGACCTTTTTCACACTGCTCAATTTCTCTTTCATACATTTTATCCTGCAGTTTCCCTGCGACATCTGCTCTGTTGGGTGGCTTGTATACTAATAAGCTATAGAACCTTACTCACTACTAAAAAATCCCTACATATATTGGCTGTTATACATATAGTTTAAAAAACTTGTAATATATCATAAACTTACATAAACCTACACAACCACACACATTTTCTAAAGAAAAAATAGCATGCTACTTTTTGAATTGTGGTCTTTATGTTCTGTCAGCCTGTGGTGGGAGAGCAATTATGGGAAGGCTGTTAGCAATCACAGGGTATGCTATACCAACTTAATAATTTACAATATGCATAGAAAGTACCGGAAAAAAGTAAGTCTTCCTGCACATTTGATCTTACTTCCTTGGCTTCTTATCTTATCTTAAGCAGATAAAAAAAAATTTCCCTTTAGATCCGTTAAGATTGCCAAGACCATTAGGGAGCCTAGATAAGAACATGTAAAGGAGAAGGTGAAATTATTCTGGGGGATTTGATACATACACTATGGTTTCCTGATATTCTGATTAAATAAAGGTAGGCTGGTAATATAGACCACTTGCAGATTCCAGCAACATATCACGGATGGTTAACACCACCATGCTTGTACTCTACATGCCCAGTTCATGGCTTGTGAGTCTTTTTCCAGAACTGAAGACACTGGGCTGTCCAGAATATGGGTTACACAAAGTATTATCTGGAAAGTCTTAGAAACACTACAAAGGGAAGATATCATCTTGGACTATTCAGAATAAGTAGGAGGGACCACCTCAAGGACAGGTCTCTCTTGCAGTTGAGTCTATGGTATCACCTCTTAGGTGGACAGGCTAAGATTTTTCTTGGGAAGGTGGTTTTTGAGATGATCGCTTTTCTTCCAATGTTCTTCAATGGGCAACTACTCCTATGCTCATCCAGAATGGCCACAGAACTTAAGGCTATACGAGATTTACTCTTACTTCATCCTTGGGTCTCACAACATTGAAGGAAACGCATAAGGGGGAAAGGAGTGATATCTAATCTGCAAGAGGAGTTCTTCAGACATAAGCTCAAGGGAAGAGAGTGAGTGTTTCAGAGTACAAGATTAAGATGTTTGAGCATGAGGAGATGACTCAAAAAACTAAGGAAATGTAAGAGCCTTTAATGAAGGTGCTGGCACAGATTCAGGGGAAATACAAATGTAAACACTGCTCAGATCCAAACTGAAAGTCCTGTTCCTGTGGTGCTATACAGGGATTGATAAGAAAGTGTACTGGCTTTTCAGTAGTAACTGAGGTTAAAAAATTTGGATGCAAGTGTCCAACCAGAGCAACCTACTCAAAAAGGGTGTTGATGTCAAAAGCTAAATCTGCGTCTCAGAACGGAGAGTGCTCTGTGCGCTGACCCTCATTTCCTATGGTTCATTAATTACAAGACACATTTGCATCTGTATTTTTCTCTGGACGGGGAGAAATGGGCTGCCTATAAGATTGGCTTTGGAAAATGAGTGCTTTCTAGGTGGCACCTGTGCGGAGAGTACATCTTCCTCTTCAGAAAAAGAGGATAATGGAATGGCATCCTCACAATGTTCATAACAACAGACCTTGGATGGATTTCAAGAGCTCTTTTTCTTAGCCTTTGGATTGGAGAAAGGCCATCTAGCTGGAGACACTACCTGTGTGAGCTGACAAAGCATCCTCTATGGAATGACTTTCACCTTCCTCTAATGCTTACTTTGAGCCCTAAGGATGTATGTGTTACAGGGATTGGTTCTTTGCCATGTGCTATTTAACATTTTTGTCAATGACCTGAAAGAAAGCATATAATCACGGATTATGTTTTGAGATGACCCAAAGATTGGGAAGAGGTAAATAATAGAGAGGACAGGTCACCAATAAAGAGTGAT